GGAAGAAAAAACAGGGTTAAACTTATAAATGATTTACAACTTCAACATAAATTAAACCAACCTCAGTTTGTTCTATAATGTATGGTTGAGTATCAGGATCGTACTGTTCACCCGGTAGTCGTAGTCGTAGCCGCATTGTTGCCATCTCTAATTCATCTACGGCCGCAACACGATCACATAACACCACAAGTACTGCACGTAAACACTAAGAATACAAATGGTAGGTGTAACATTTGACCTTTAACCTTGTTGTGTAACTAATACATGCAAAGGTCATTTGTTTTATTATGCAGATCAATAAGAAAACCAACTTATAGATCTGGAAAGAGGGTAAGTTTCAATTATACCATGGTAATCTGTAACTTGTTGCGACAAGGATGCTGTGATTTTGTATATACACTGAGGACAAGAACAGTACAGTACCATCAAGTTTTATGATTTCTTTCTTCAAATCTGAATTTATAGACTGCATTCTCCCAACCACAGTCCCTCAACACAGTCCTGTTGAGGGACTGTCTCCCAACAATGGATGCTGCAAGTCTGACAAGTGACTAACATGTACTTTTAACCACTGCTGTCAAATTCACAATCTCCCTGATGCTTGATTGGTTTACAGATACCACACCATAACTTATAACATTTACAGGGAATGTTATACCGGTAAACCATTCAAGATAAGGGGAAGGAAGTAACAAATTAATATGGTTTTTCGTGAGGGGAGGAACAACCCCTTACCAAAAAAAAAAAACTCAAAAGCACTGTGGCTGTCTGAATTACCTGTATGTATAAAATAATTAAATTACTGCAATGCTGTGTTCAAAAATACAGTAAGAGCAGATATAATTTGATATTTTCACTAACCTTAAATTCTTTTTTCATATTCTCAAAGAGTTCCATGTGTACACTTCCATCCTGCACCAAACTGACCTGTGAACTCAGAGATTGTTTTACAAAACCAAGCAGGATCTTTAATACTTTTTCAAGTTCACTGGGAGCCCATGATCCCTTGGTCCTACTACCATGACCTGTCAGTTGGACATCTTCACCATCTTTTTCAATAATAATTTCTTCAGTTTGTCTGAAAAATGACAAAATAATAATAGAGTTAAGAATTATGAAGACATCTGATAAAAACACGCACAAATTCATATAACAGTATATTACAGAGCAGCAAATAGAACAAGCAGCCTCTCGGCTGAGATAGCTCCGCTGTTAGCAATGCACATTTCAATTAAAGAACTTAAAAGAACTGAAGATATCATTAGAAAATGAACAAAATGTATAGTATCAAAACAATCAGACTTGTGGTTTTCAACAAGAAGTGGAAAATATCACCTTTTACCAAAAATTACAAAAATATTCATCAAAATTAGAGAAATAAAGATATCATCATGAAATGAACAAATCTAAGAGAAGTCTACCCAAGGTACTTATACACCAAGTATCAAAGCATCCAGGCTTGTAGTTTTCAAGAAGAAGTCGAAAAAGTAAAACATTGACACGGACGCCGGACGCCGGACAATTACTCATATGATAAGCTCCGCTCGACAAAGTCGACAGCGGAGCTAAAAAGTGGAATTGATATTCAGATTTAACTTTGGCGAATATAATGACTACAATGGTGGGTTTTATAATGCAATGTTTCTGTAGATTATATTCGATGGACATTATAGCAGGCAAGATACAACACTCCTATACAACTCATGGAAATATAATGACAACACAAGCTCACTTTTTAGAAACTCAGTGACATGTAAACCCAAATATTAGATAATTCATCAAATGAACAGTGTCAGGCAATTTATATGCAAATTAGGTCATTAGTATGCAGTTTTAAAACTCACTTTGTTTTCATCGAGAACAGTTTAGTTTCATATTCAGTGAGCAATTCATCTGCTTGACAGAAAACACAACTGTAGACAAAGAAAAAATACTAGTAGTTAATCAAAAAATTAATGACATATAAAAAAATCAGCTTCATTTTAACGAACCTAGGTGCTCTAACTCAGTGGTGGGTTTTATTTTCATGAACTTAGGTGCTCACTGGAAGAAGTCTGTTTAATTTTTACTAACTTAGGTGCTCTAAGTCAGAAGTGGGTTTCATTTTCATTGAATTTACTGAAGAAGTTGGTCTCAATCGAGAGGAAGTGAGGGTATTCTTCAATTGGAAAGCTGTAAGCGGCACGAGTCAGGGTCTGGAAATAAATCCCTTTTTGGACAAAAGTATTTCGAATGGAGTACCTTTTCGAGCAAAGATGTCTTGCAAGTGGCCTACAATTTCAGCACAAAAAATTGCCAGAAAAGCTTTGTCGAAACTGCTAAATCTGTCATTGTGCAAAAAGATTGATCAGGTAATTCATCATTCATTTCATAAAATAACCATAGTCTGACAAGAGGAATACATTTTTAACAAATTTTGCATTTCATCGACTGTCAGGTCTCAACAATTCCATTATCAACTTCATTTTTCTAATTCCCATTAATTGCTTACAACTACGCAATGACTTACTCATGTTTGATTTTTCCCTTATATGGTCGTAGATGGCAATCTATTGCTGAATTCAACACTTCTTTTGTTAGATCACATCTTAACAAATTCAATTTATCCAAAACCACATCATGAGAAGCTTGTAATTTCTCTAATTCTGAAGTCAGAACAAACTGTAAACCTCTTACGGTGCGAAATCTGCAACAAGTATTCATTCAATATACAATATTAGTACGTATTAATATGAGCAATTTCACAAATTTAGATGAAAATAATGTTAAAACTTTTATTGTCTTTGTTGAAATGGAAATAATAACAAATTAACATAACTTACTTAAAACTAATACTGTCGTCTTGCGGTTTTGGCAAAAATGCATCTTTAATTTTATCCATTAATTCTGGGTCAGTAGAATTAAATATGCACCATTCTGTAGCATCAATCCACCAATGGCTACCAGTAATCTGAAACTAATTACCCACAATGCATCTGTTAACTTATGTTTTCATATTTGTTATTATTTCTGGGTCAAATAACCATATCCTGCACCTAACCACTCCACTAACCAAATTGTTACAGCAAATCTCAGAAGTATTGGGG